AATGCTAGATTATGATAATTAATTCTTATCATTTGTCTATGATTGCAATTCTCTCAAATTATGATTACTTTATTCTTTCCTCTCCTTTATAACTCTGAATAGATCAAGAATGCGATGTGTGGCAGTAATGAAAAAGGAAATCTGAGGGTTCATGAGAGGTTTGTTGCCGGCTCTTTGGCTGGAGCTACTGCCCAGACAGCCATCTACCCAATGGAGGTAATATCAGGCTAATACACAGTTAGAAACATATATATATCTTGAAGAAAACACACTTTCTGTTTGTCCTTCTTGTCTGATTTACATCTCTTCTTTTCCTCACAGATGCTGAAGACCCGTCTCACACTAAGAAAAACAGGCCAATACTCAGGGATGGCTGACTGTGCCAAACAGATTCTACAGAGAGAAGGTATCACAGCCTTCTACAAGGGCTACGTACCGAACATGCTGAGTATTGTCCCTTATGCCGGCATCGACCTGGCTGTCTACGAGGTCAGAGAGACATGAAATATCACATAGCGTGCCGTTCACAGTGCATCTCCTTAGTGTTTTCCTTCTTCTCACTTCCTCTATTCCACAGACTCTGAAGGTGGCTTGGTTGAACAGGAACAGAGGTTTAGCTGACCCAGGAATCATGGTGCTGGTCGGCTGTGGTGCCTTTTCCAGCACCTGTGGACAGCTGGCAAGTTACCCGCTGGCACTGATCCGCACCCGAATGCAGGCACAAGGTCAGGATAACTGTGGTTATACTGATATAGATATATATGTGTGGCAAATTACAGTAAGGTCTTACAGTTAGGTGTTGGGCCACAATGAGCTTCCATAAGAGCTTCAGTACTCCTTATCACAGATTCTTAAAAGTCCCTTGAATGCTACTGGAAGAAGAAACACCATTATTCCAAAAGATATTCCCTCAGTAGTGAAGACAGTGTAAAAGTAACAAAAATCTGCTCCCACTCACTGTCAACACTTCAGGTAAATGTCCTGAATTGCTTAATTTCCCTACAACAACCTTTATATAATCTTATAACCTTTTTGCATACAGATGGAGCGGGATAGGAGGAGGAGAGAACTGCATCATGTGAAGTCTTCCGTCAGTCTAGGCCTGTTACAGCATAACTAAGAGATTGTTCAGGACTAGCATGAGCTCAATAGCTGAAGGCTCTGGTTACCATTCTACTTCTGGAGACACTAGGAACTGCAAGTAACCCTGCTTTCTGGGAGCGCAGTGCTCTGGTAGCATAATAAGATACTATGAGCTCTTTAAAACAAGATGGCGCCTGACCATTAAGAGCTTTGTTACTGAGGAGAAGGATTTTATATTATATTCTGGATTTTACAGGGGGCCAATGCAGAGAAGCTAAAACAGGAGAAATCATTCTCAAGGGAATATATTTAACATATAAAATTTAAGTTTGTTTTGCCTTTATGCTACACACATAGAACATAACATATAAGATAAATAAAATAAAAAAATATAGGCCTAGACTTGATTTATATAAATATGCGTACCCAGTAAATAATACTGCAATACATTTTTTTAATTTGTGTCTTGGGGAATTTTTTTTTAATTTAACCTTTATTTTAACATGAAAGTACCATTGAGACACAGTCTCTTTTACAAGGGAGTTCTGTAAACAGCACCATGCAAACAACAGTAACAAGATAGTGATGGTAGGTAGATTTATTTTGTCACAATATAACAGGTTACATAGTGAAATTTAGTTTATAACTCCCTTCTGCTACATAGAAGACAATTTACATTAATATAGAATCAATTATGAAAAATGGAATGAAATAAACTACATTCAATGGAGCAGTGCTGAGGATGAATTAGAACTTAAAAGTCTGATAGCTTGGGGAAAAAAGCTGCTCTGCAGTCTGGTGGTGTGCAGCAGAAACTTCCATATCTCTTCCCAGAAGGCAGCAGGGTAAACAGGCTGTGGCTGGGTGGATACTGTCCTTTAGTATCCTTTGGGCTCTGCGTAGGCACCTCACCTGATGCTCGGGAGATGTGTACCAATGATCTGCTGAGCAGTTTTAATCACCCGCTGCAGAGCCCTCCGCTTCTGGGCCGTGCACATCCCATGCCAGTTTGTGATGTTTCCAGTCAGGATGCTTTCTATTGCTCCTCTGTAAAAGCAAGAACTTGGTATGGGAATTTGGCCTTCTTAAATTACCTTAAGAAACACAGTCATTTCTGAGCTTTCTCCACCAGCGTGGAGTTGTGAGATGACCATGTCAGGTTCTCTGTGATGCTGATCCTGAAAGTGTTTGCCTGGTCTACCTCAGCTTCACTGATGTAGGCAGGAGTGTGTGTCTTTATCTCCTTTTTCCTGAAATAATAATATGGTTTTCATCGAGCCTAGAAGTAACAAATGTGTGGACTGCTTTTTCCACATCATTTTAAAAACAGGATATGCCTGATATTTGCAATGTTATGTAGATGAAAAAAGGCAGTCCTTGAAGTTTGTTTTATGTGAATAACTCATGGTGGTGCTGGAGGCCAAGTCAATGCCATCTAGAGTAAATAATATGTTCAGTTAATGCGTGCGCTGGTTTTTGTGGCCAAGTACAATAATTTAATTTTTGTCTGAGTTGAACATAAGAAAATTTCAGGTCTTCCAGGTTTTTACATAAGCACTTAAGGCATGCTTGAAGTTTAGATAACTGATTGATTTCATCTGGCTTGATTGATAGATAATAATTGGCTCCTAGTTTCTTAGTAACGTGAAGGTAACCCCTTTTTTTTTTTGTCATAACACTGGTTCCAAGTTCTTTGTCAGTGCATCATATGCTTTGAAAAAAGGTTAATATAATTCCAGATCTATTCTGTCTTATAATACAGAAAATGTATAATGTGTAACAATAGTTTGTAGTTAATGAGCAATAAAGGACAAACGACAGGATGATCAATTTACAATGAAGAACAAACACGACTTCTGTGCATTAGCACCAGATGCCCTCACTTTCTCAGAGTCACATGGAGTTAGAGACCAGAATGTGTTGGTGGAGCTCATCTTTCTTTTTCTCCACTCAGCTTCAGGGAAGGGAGCTCCTAAACCCTCGATGTTGTCTTTGCTTCACAACATCGTGACCCAGGAGGGCGTGGCCGGACTTTATCGAGGAATTTCCCCCAACCTGCTGAAAGTCATCCCTGCTGTCAGCGTGTCCTACATTGTCTACGAATACACGAGGATAGCCCTGGGAGTGGACATTGAGGGTAGGAGGGGTGGGAAAGGGAAGGGGTAAAAAAGATTGGATGATTTGGGGTGGCTTTCTACTACAAGCACATCCAGATCTGTTGACAGTGCATGAGGAAATGGGCCTTGACTGGATGAATACACGTTGCTGTGACGTCTTGCGGTTTCAGGATGAGGATAATAGGATGGAAAATAAACCAAGGAAAGAAAAGAGAAAAACAACAGATTGTCATCATATGCAATCTGTTGCGAAAGGCTCACATTTGGAGAATGTCACCTGAACTGGCAGCTGCTGTGATGAGTTTCAAGTGTGGTGCATTGCAATGCATGCCAGCAGTGTGAAAGCTAAAGCTAATCAACTTGCCTCCTGCTACTGCATTTACCTGGACAGATGAAGACTTGCATGAACCTGCCTGAGCAACGAACAGGTAAAAGATGCAATCAAACTGGGAAGCCAAGTTACATTCCTACAGCATTATTTTTTTCTCCTAGGTGATATATAGAGAAGACTGACAGAAGGACTGCTCCAGTTCCCTGTTCCATGTGAGGGAAACCTGAAGTTGTTGCGCACTGGTGGAGTTACATCAGGACTTTGATTGACATGTCTTAAACAACAGTTACAAATACTAAAGCACAGAAATAATTACAAAATAACAACATAAAAATACTGAACTTAACTCTTGAATGACAACAGTGATAGTGAAAAAGAGACACTGTCAATCTTTTCTTTCCTGGAAGGATTACTGCTGAGTAAAGCCCACCAAAGACTATATTTTACATGAGGCGTAGAGGATTCATGATAAACTCTCATGCAAAATGCACATATTTTATAAGTGTTCCTATGCTGAATGGTGCATTTGTGTATGTTTTGTTATGTTTTAAACACACTACAGGGTCCAGAGCCGCATAGTATTTTTATAAACTGTATGTGCACTGTGGTAAAGACTTACATCATACTGTATCATGAAACAATGAGATTTAATGCCAATGAACATTTATGATGTCTCAGTATTTATTATGGAGGGTGCAAACAAAAGCATCCCTGAAGCAACTGAAATGCAGAGGTGAAGAGGTAGCTTTCTGTATACATGCCAGCCCTATGAAACCACTGCGCTAACAATTATTTCCTATGAAATAATTAACTGACTTCCACTTTGATACCCAGTTGCTGTGCAACTGTAGCTTAGACCTTCATATTCACAGCTAGTGTTACACTGCTTCTAATTACACTTCAACATAGGTTCACTGAGTAGCTCTGGTTGTGCAGTATAATTATTATGAAATTGCAACTATAATGGCAAAATAGCTCAGCTCAAATGCTGTTTGACCTCATGGTTATATGATCAATAAGGATTTTTAGTAAAGCCTTATTTTACAAGTCTGTAATTACAAATGATTTCGTAAAGTGTCTATACTCTAAATATGTTGTGATTAAAAATAACTCAAATAGGATAAGTAGTGAGATAAGTGACTCAGATAATGCTTGTAACCCTTTTCTGCTGCAAGTTCGCGTTCCCCACCTCTAAATGATTAAAAGCACGTTTCAATTGCAATAGTTTTTTTTGTTTTTTAATAAATGCGTAATGCAAGTAGGCAATTAAGAGCTCCAAATACAGGTTTGTGGTTTGTCCTCTGCAGTGTCTGAGCTCTGCACAAGCCAGCCGACCTCCAGCCCGGGAGGAGGCGGTATATCTGCTTTATAACGTTGGCCATGAACACACAAAGGTATAAGAAAGAGGAAGTCGAAGAAGAAGTCGAAGAAGACCCGGGCGTTGAAGGTTCGTTGATTGGATATTTTAAGCAGGGAAGTTTGCCGGCGTGGTAGGCAGCCTCGCTCACATTGGTGTCTCTCTTACGCTCTTGCTTAGCCTTCCCGCTTCTGCGCAGCTCGACCCGGCCAAAGCTATTCAGCCTGCCCCCTGTATCTATTTGCCCCTTGTGAGCAGCATGTCTGATTACGGCGCTCTGCCGACTAATGGAGTCGGCGCGGGAATGAAAAACGACGCTTTTGCAGATGCTGTACAACGGGCCAGACAGGTAACGTTAACTCAGGAGCTCGGCGACAAGATAATACGGCGAGCTCGTTAACGTTAGCTGGTGGGAAACTGCAGCTAGCTTGATTACCCGTGACGTTAGCTGTAACGATAGTTAACTGGCTAGCCAGCTAGCTAATAGCAATGCCATTAAATTGTCTAGCACGCCGAGTTGAGTGATGACTTGAAAATGCTTGCGGGTTGGATTGAGCAGCGGCAACAATATAGTTCACTCTTTAGTGTAACGCTAACGTTATATAAAATGACTTGTCTCCACCGGGATCCTTGGGTGAAGTTAAATGGACAATGCTAGCTACGTTAGCTAGATTAGTTAACGTTAGTAAGCTGACTGAATTAGGAAACTCCATTTTAGGAAAAATTTAACAAGTAACCACATTGTCATGACACTGTGACTGCCATGAAGTAAGTTGTTATATCGTATTGATAACTAGCATTAAACGGACCAAACTATGCTTGTAACGTTAAGTTAACTTATTAAGTTAACGTTAGTGACTAAAATTTCTCACTGATCGTGAATATTTCTGTAACAGTCCTTATCTACCTAACGTTAACTTAGTCCTACCGTACCGATATTTGTAGTTATCAGGGTTAGGGCTGCAAGTAACCTAGTGATTGCATTATTTATTAGTCGCACTCAAATATATTAAATTTACAGGGATATAAAAGGGGGGAAAAAGCAGTGGAATCTAACTTTTGAGAAGCTGAAACTAGGGAGTGTTTGGCATTTTTTCCTTTTTTACATTTATTAACCAAGGAAAACAATAATAAATATAAATAAATGGTTTCATACAAATTTTCTGTATCAATTGTTTCAACTTGAATTATAGTTATATCTGATTTTAGTCCCCCTGTTTCTGCTCATGTATTAACTTTACACTTACAGCTTTCTCTACAGAAATTTAGTATTTCATAAAGTTGAGACATTGTGAGACAGAAAAAATGAGTGTGGCTCAAGCTCCAAAAAGACTAGATCCTAGAGTCCCCATAAAGCAACTCAATACCATCTTTAGTTGGACCCTGGCTGCCTGGTTAAATGCCCATGTCTTTGAAATTTCACACCTCCAACAAAGGTTTTCTTCTCTAAATGTGAAGTCTCCAGGCTCATATAACCCCCAGATGACAGTTGTAGATGGTTCTTAATGTGTCGGCGGAGAGACACTTTAAATGAGAATTTTTATATGAAACCAAACAAAATATAGTAAAAATGTCACTAACTCTGAAGGAGTGATGTTGAAATAATCTTATCAAAACCTGAAAGCTCTTCATCACTATTTTAGGTTGTATTGCAGACACTTCATCCAGTGTATGTCATTCTAGATTGCAGCTAAAATTGGTGGAGACGGCGTTCCTTCGGTGAGCAACAACGGTGGAGCTGAGAACTATCCATTCACAGCACAGAAACGATCCCTGGAAGAAGCGGGTAAAAAAATCTGTGAAACAGGGACTGTGTCTGCATTGTTTTCCACATTGTAAGCCTAACTTTTCTTTTGATTTCAGATGAACCTGATGCCAAGAAGGTAGCATCACAGAACGAAATGGATTCCCCATTGTGTAAGTTAAACACACACTGATCCTATTACAAACACTCGCTCTGCTCGGTTTTCAAACATTCACCGCTTTTTCCTTCTCTTACAGCTATTGAAGCTCAGCTGGCTGCCCTGTCTCAACAAAGGTATAGGGGTTATTTTTAGTGGTCTTTTGGTGCTTATGGTTATGACTGAAAAATGATCCTTTATGTATCATTGTTTTGTTTACGTGCCTGTAGTGTCAGGGGCTCCACAATAACAGAAGAGTACAGGGTGCCTGATGGCATGGTCGGTCTAAGTGAGTACATGCACATTTGCTTCCTAAATCAGACATGATGCCTGTGTTACATGTGTTCAGACTAAAATCTAAATTTCTGTCTTGTCCCTAAAGTTATTGGCCGAGGAGGTGAACAGATTAACAAAATACAGCAGGATTCTGGCTGCAAAGTCCAGATTGCTCATGGTGAGCTATGTGCCTAACCCCAGATTTGCTGAAATCAGGAAAGTGTGATGTATTTTCCAGCTGCATTTTGATTGATGCATATTTTCATATTCATTCACAGACAGTGCCGGCCTTTCAGAAAGAAGCGTTTCTCTGACAGGGTCACCAGATGCTGTACAGTGAGTTGGTGTTCACATTTAAAACAATCTATATCCAATGCAACTACTTTCTTCTTCTGGGGAGTTTTTGTTCATTGATGTTTGTGGGATCAAGTAGCAGCTCTGCTTAAAGGTGAAGAAATTATAATAAACTTGTCCTGACATTGGCTGGCCTAAGCAGACTACACATAATGTATTGATAAAATTTAGCTTAAGAAATTAGATCTTATAAAATCTTACAACCATTTCCTGTTTCCTTGTGCAATGGCAACGGGTTGCACTATTGGGACTTTTCTAACAGAGTTTGGCCTCTATGGCAGCACTTCCTCTCAGGGCGTGCACAGATCCTTTGCTAAGATTGCCAAAGTTAAACCCAGACCACAGTCCTTACTGTAATCTTAATCATTTCTACCCCATAAATTACTCGGATTGGTGGAAGTCAGTTGTGCTTAACAGCCAGAAAGACTACTGTCAATCATGACACGCACAGCCAGAAAAATTAATGTTAGGATTTTTGTCTTTAGCTTCTAAGAAAGCTTATTAAATTTAGTTGGATCTATGTTAATGAGTATCAAGAGCTACATTACATCATTTAAACAAGGTGCATATTGCATACATACTTGATCCCCTAGAATTCCATGAATTAAGCTAAGCAAAGCCAATAAAGCATTGCCTGTTTATAACACTGTGGCTGCTGAAGACTATGGCATACTGTTGGTGCAGCTGGAACGTCTTACACTACCTAGTAGTAAGTCATGACGAATAATTGACTATTCGGATTATGAATCGCAAAATTACACAATGTCTCTTATTTAGCTATAAGCTTTTAAATAAAACTTTTTTAGGCATGTGCTAATTAACAATCAAGACAGTAAAATGAAAACTGCTTTCAAAAATACATCTTTTAATGAACATTTCTGCTGCAGCAATATAAAGTTCCAATGAAATCCAGTCCTTTCATGGACCAAACACGTAAATACAGTAAGAAATAAGTATGTGCAGCATGGGGCTGCAACGATTAGTTGATGTAATCGATGACGGCAATTATAAAAATTTGTCGACGTGAAATCTCATTGTCGACGTGTCGTTACAAAGAGGCCGTTTTAAGTGAGAGACAAATCTTAAGAGCATTTCTTTGTTAATTTCTAACGGCAATGCACTACTGTATTTTCCGCACTATAGGGTGCACTGGATTATAAGTCTGTCAATGAATGGTCTATTTTCGAACTTTTTTCATATATAAAGCGCACCGGACTATAAGGCGCATTAAGTGAAACAAAACAGTCAGATAAGTCAGTCAAACTTTATTAAAAAACAGGTGCAGGTACACTGTGAACAAGTCACCAGTTCATCACAGAGCACATAGAGATGAACAACCATTCACACTTACGGACAATTTACTGTCACCAATTCATGCAGATACAGGGATGTGTTCAACACACGCACACACACACACACGTTAAATCAAACGTTAGCTTTTTCACAATAACTTTCAAAATTGTTCAGTTATAACACGTAAAATACAACACAATACACTCACTTTTTCAGCTCATTCCTCGTCCACAAACCCCTCAAATTCTTCATCTACAGTGTCCGAGTTTAAACAGTTGGGCAATCACGGCATCCAGCATGCCCGGATCGTGCGTGAGTGATGGCCTTGAGTTTAAAGTCTGCGTTGTAAGCATGTCTCTTGACAGGTGCCATTTTGGGGTCACACTGTAATATTATGGTGAAGCACAGTGGGCCTACTGTATGTATTACTCCGCGACGCTCATGACTACGAGTGCCGCTGTACCACAGAAAATCGCTTCGCAGTCATTAAGCACAACTAGTCCATATATAGGGCGCTCCGGATTATAAGGCACACTGTTGTCTTTTGAAAAAAAATAAAGGCTTTTAAGTGCGCCTTTATAGTCCGAAAAATACGGTACATGGAAGTGCTGTGGGCAGTATCTCTTCCATTGTCTGCCATGACTGCTTGACTGTAAGACTACTCATAAAGAAGCATTCATGTGAGTAGCGGAAAGTAATGGAGAAAGAGGCTAACAGCAGAATTCAAAAAAATGTGTTCAACACACGCACACACACACGTTAAATCAAACGTTAGCTTTTTCACAATAACTCTCAAAATTGTCCAGAATTTAGATTTTTGAATTTAGGAATTTAGATTTTTGTCGACTGCGTTGATTTTTTTTTCAGCGCTGAACTAGGGCTGAACTAGCCGCTACCTCACGCAGACAGGTGAACTGCCATTATCTGGTGGTCTCTAATCTTGCGCCTTCGGCAGCAACACGTTGTCCAGCTGTAATCGTAATCTGAGTGAAGAGTCAAATGCTCCCATACTCTGGAGGTTTTAGTTTGTGAAGGTGTTAATACCACTGCTGATGTAGTGGTGTTTTATTAAAGAGGTGGTGTTATGCTTTTTGGCTTTTTCCCTCTCCTTTCTTGAGTTATATATCTTTTTTTTGTACATGTAATAGGTTTGCAAAGTGAAAAAGCCCAAGTCCACCCCAAAGGGAGTTCCTGTCTCCCACAGAAAACTCTTCTCTGAACTGCTTGAAAATGGCTCGTTCGTAGTCCAGCCAATTCCCTTTCATCCTTGTGACGTCACAGGGATGAAAGCTAAATGTGTCTCATAACACTCACCAAGCGGCTACTCCGACACACCCTCAAAAAAACCGGTGGAAAAACACTGAGCTGCAGCACACACCTCTCCTCTCACTTCCAAACACTAGCTACCCTCCAGGCAGTCAGTGGACATAAAGTTGTTACTGTGATGTAGAGACAGAGCTCAGTTAAAACTTTATGGATGAAAAATACTTTTGTTACAGATTAATAACCCACCACTCTGAAATTCTTGCCCGATGACGAATGAACAAATCGATTAATCGATTGTTGGCAAGGAATTTAGATTTTTGTCAACTGCGTTGATTATTTTTTTTGCACCCCTAACAGTGTAATACATCAACTAAATTTCTTGAATGCTACGTTAGTGCTGTGTTGAGTCATTTCATCCTCCTCCATCCATTTGAATTTGCTTCCAGGAGAGCCAAGGCACTTATAGATGACATAGTGTCAAGAGGTCACGAGTCGACCAATGGGCAGTCAGGTTCCATGCAGGAGATGATCATCCCTGCAGGCAAGGCCGGCCTTATTATAGGCAAAGGAGGAGAGACCATCAAACAGCTTCAGGTAAGACTCTTTCATATAAATCTATGATCGCTTGATTCGGAGTGTTTTCTACTATACTGTAACCAGGAGGCAGTGTAATAATGCTTATGTTGTTGAATTTGCTGTGTTTGTGTGTAATCAATGTAACTAAGGGTGCTCTGATCGATCGGTCACAGATTGTAATTGGCCGATAATAGCTTTCACTAGTTTGATCGGTGGTCTCTAAAAAGGCCCATCACAAAAGCCGATCAGATGATGCAATACTTGCCAGACAAATTTTCAGTGGCAGCTAAAACTCTTGTGTTGTGCTCCAGTGTTACTTTCAGTTCCACTTTAGTCGATGCAAAAAATACCTGGTGTGTTTCTTCATCTGTATTACTTTCTTCTTTCGCCAAATCTTCTGTAACTGCTGAGTAAACCATCTGCTTCATGTTTACACCAGCAGGCGCATGGCCAGTGTACGTGAATGGCCACTAGATGTGTTTTCAGTTGTTTTAATATGGACGGAGATCAACTCTGATACGCAGCTAAACCGTTGCTGTGGACGGTGAAGATTGTATTCATTATAAAACTGTTTAAAAAACCGTAGTAGTGTGGATGTAGTCTCACATTACCCCACTCCTCTCTTCTCCTCTCCTCCTATCAACCCTCCCGTTTTCCCCGTGAGTCTCTCGTATTTTTCCGTTCTCAGCCGGTATCCTCCCCTTAAATGTTTCCCCGTAAATCTCCCGTATTTTTAACCCTTTATAAAATCAAATAAAAACTTGCTGGCTGTATTTAAAGTGTTTGCTACTCTCTCCTCTGGTAAAGCTGGTGGCAGTAGGCCCATGTAAAAGATGAAGACTGCTTCTTGCACAAGGAGTAAATAAACAACCCACTTAAATGATATTAAGCCTATACTAGTGGTAAACCATATGAAATTATGAATATAGTAACTATAAGTAGTAATAATAATAAACTAATAGTATAATATCTACCACCTAAAGCCCACAGAAACTGCCTGAGTGGCTACTTCTGAGTTTATCATCGACTCAGGATGCCTGTGGTCCTTTATCTCCTAAATATTTTGGGTACAGCCTTTTCTTTTTTTCTTTTTTTTGTTGCAGTTTTTATAGTTGAAGTAAATTTATAAAGATGCTGTTTGTTCTGTTTTTGTAGTTTACTCCACAGGAAAGCTAAATTTGTTAAGCTATAAGATGTTCGCAGTAACCAGGCAAAGCCTTCAATGGTTTAAGTCTCTAAAACAGAGGGAGAGGAATTTGTTGCCCATGTTTCCTGTAATAAACAGTTGTAATTTTTATCATCTGCTAATTTTAATAGTTACTACATTGTTTTTAGGACTAATTAAATAAATATACAGTATACTATACATACATATAATGCTACATGATGATAAATAAAAGGCTTCAAATAGACCAAGTGATCGGTATCTGCCGATACTGCTTTCAGCAATCAGTGAATCGGCCCAAAAAATCCTCATTGGAGCGCCTCTAAATGTAACATCCCTCTGCTGCAAAACCGTAGGAGCGGGCTGGAGTCAAAATGATTCTTATTCAAGACGGATCCCAGCCACCCAACATTGATAAACCCCTGCGCATCATTGGAGACCCCTACAAAGTGCAGGTACCCACAGTGAAGATAGTTTTGCTTAAGTTTGAGATGTATTATGCCTGTATTTACCCTTGAAATCATTGTCTTCCTGAATTCTTTGTTCGCCCGCCAGCAAGCAAAGGAGATGGTTAATGAGATTCTACGGGACAGGGATCATGCAGGTTTTGGAGACAGGAACGAATACGGCTCAAGGATGGGAGGAGGAGGAGGCGGCGGCGGCGGCGGCGGCATCGATGTAAGCAATGTGTTTTTAAATACAAAAAAAACAAGTTACGACTAACTGCTGTAAAAAAGATTGTTTTCCCAAACTAGATAAAGTTGCGTTAAATGAACATACTCGAATGACTGTAGAATGTGTGAATGTTTACCATAACTTTAATAAATGGGTGAGACTCAGTTGCTTTGAGCCGTTATCACAGTTTTTGTTGTGATCACACAGATAGCTGTGCCCCGTCACTCTGTTGGAGTTGTGATTGGCCGAAGTGGGGAGATGATCAAGAAGATCCAGAGCGATGCTGGAGTGAAGATACAGTTTAAACCAGGTGAGCCCTCCAAACTTTTTCTGGAAGATTAAACTGCGTCATATTGAATTACAACTGTCTTCCCCCTGGCCTGCTAAATAGTGTTTATGCAGGGGAGGAAATGTTTGTCGCTGTTCTCCACATCCACTATTTGATTTAACTTTAGATTATAATGGCACGTTTTGATTTGAACGTTAAGACTAGGGCTGCAGCTAATGATGATTTTAGTACTCAAAGCTTCTACCGATTATTTCATTGATGCGTCGTTTAAGAAGTACTTTTGCTTGCCGGCTACGCTGTGGTGTTTGTATTTTTCCCTTCGGTTGTATACCAGACACCGGCAAGGAAAATAAATTAATACTGGGAGAATCTTCGATCCTGCTTTTGATTTCTAAGGTTAAAATTAAAAGCTCATTTCATTTGCTACGTTATAGCCGCATTACATAATTTCTTCTCTCCTTTGAGTTGATTCTTGTGCTTTCAGTCCCTGTACAAACCCCCACTAATAAATCTGCCTGTCCTTTTGTCATCCTTTACAGATGACGGTACCGGTCCTGAGAAAATAGCCCATATTATGGGTCCACCAGACCAGTGTCAGCATGCTGCCTCAATCATTACTGACCTGCTACAGAGTATCCGTGCCCGAGAGGAGGGTGGGCAGGGGGTAGGTGCAGAGGCAGGCCTTTGATTTCTTGATCTTGAATTCTGTGCTGATGACAGAACACAGGAACAGGGCTTTTTTTGTGGAACAGTTAAACCTAATGTGAGGTGTGTTTTTCTCCACAGGGCCCCCCAGGTCCTGGTTCAGGGATGCCACCTGGTGGGCGAGGACGGGGTAGAGGCCAGGGGAACTGGGGTCCTCCGGGGGGAGAGATGACCTTCTCCATTCCTGCTCACAAATGTGGGCTCGTCATTGGCAGAGGAGGAGAGAATGTCAAGTCCATTAACCAACAGACTGGTGCATTTGTGGAGATATCTCGTCAGCCACCGCCAAACGGTGACCCAAACTTCAAACTGTTCATCATCCGAGGGTCCCCGCAGCAGATTGACCACGCAAAGCAGCTCATAGAAGAGAAGATTGAGGTAGGTTCACTGGTGGAGCAGAGAAGAACTGCACAGATCAAATGTCTGTCAAAGGAGAACACACCTGAATCTGAGTTTGAATGGCTTCTTCCTGTTTTGTGTTTTTCCTCCAGGCTCCGTTGTGTCCAGTGGGAAGTGGTCCTGGTCCAGGAGGCCCAGGTGGTCCAATGGGTCCCTATAATCCCAACCCTTATAATCCAGGTCCTCCTGGTGGTGCTCCTCAGTATGTACAATCCCAATACACTTAAATACAGGAATTTTTTAATAGTTTTCCTTCAGGGGAGACTGGTATAAATAACAAGGTTAAGTCTTTAAATGGTCCTGTCCGTCTCTGCAGTGGAGCCGCGCCTGGTGGCCCCCAGTTCTGTCCTCAAGGTTGGGGAAATACCTATCAGCAGTGGCAAGCCCCAGGTCCACAAGACCCCAGTGAGTACCTTCCATTTTTACATAACAATTCTGTTTCTGTATTTGCCCCGTGTGTGTGTTGGTTGTTTTTTTTACACATTTTAAGGCACTTTGTAAATGGTTTAAGGTGTATATTCTTTTGATCTCATTACTTTCTTTATTCTGTTTCCTCTCATTTTAGATAAGGCAGCAGCAGACCCAAACGCAGCATGGGCAGCCTACTATGCACAGTATTATGGCCAACAGCCAGGGGGAGCCATGGCATCCCAGGCTCCAGGAGGCGCCGCAGTGGGAGCTCCAGGGGACCAGAGCCAAGGAGCTCAGGCCTCTGGGGGCCAGCCAGACTACACTAAAGCTTGGGAGGAATACTACAAGAAAATGGGCATGAGTAAGTTGGATCTACTGAGACAAGTACAAGGTTCTGTCTGGGCATATGACCTAGACTATTAAATGAAGTCGTACTCATGTGATTGTGTGTTGTTTTTTCATCAGCCCAGCCAGCTGCAGCGGCAGCACCTGCTCCAGCTGCAGCAGCAGCGCCTGCAGCAGCAGCAGCAGCAGGAGGAGGAGGAGCTGGAGGCCAGCAGGACTACAGCGCAGCCTGGGCTGAGTACTACAGACAGCAGGCTGCCTACTATGGACAGGGAGGGCAGGTGCCAGGACAGGCAGCTGCTCCACAGCAGGGACAACAGGTAGCATGACCAGTGTCCAAAACAAACCATGTCAATATAAACAGCAAATGTTAGTTTTAATCACTCATAGTTTTTAATCTTCATTTGTATTTAATCACTGGTGTTGCCAAATAAAAAGAACATGAGGATTCAAGTATTCAGGCAATCAGCAAAAGACATGCCACTTTGTGGACAGGCAGTTTAACTGGTCATCACCTGCCACTTGTTTTAGTTCAGTCAAAGCTACACACTGTTCAGGAACAAAGTTTTAAGAACATGCAAAAAAAGTGACACCTACTGCAATAGACTATTTTAGCACTTACTGTTTGTTAATTATCAATCTTACATGAAACCATGCTTGTATTCATACACCTTATACACATACACACACCCCATAGTGAGAAAATGTCCACATTTCTTTACAAAGCAAAAACTGATTAAATTGTATTTTGTCTAATGTCTCATTTCAGGCCCAGTAAACGAATCGCATCCGTTGGATTGTTGCGATGGCTCTCTGGACTTGCTTGTTTTTTCTATCAAGATTTCCTTTTTGGCTTTGAGTCAAGACCATGATTTACTCATCCACCCAGACATTTTCTATTCCAACCTTCTTGTTGTTGTTTTTTTTAAGTCAAAATTGAAGAAAGGAAAAAGGGAACACATTTTGCCCATGGATTGAACAAAGCACTAAATAAATGCTTGGGTCATTGTTCATTTTGCTCCTTCACCTCACCCACACCTTTTTAATACATCTGAACTTTTTTTTTTTTTAAATGTGAAATGATAACCATCTTTGCTTGCAAGCTAGCACAATAGCATCTCAACACTGACTCACATTCATGTTGTTTTTTTTCCCCTTCTATTTCCCGAGGGTAAAAAAAAAAACTGTCTAGCAGTATTTTGAATATATCCAGAAATTATGTTTGTGTAAAGAAAAACAAAAACAGAATTTTTTTTTTTTCCCTTTAAAGCTTATTTTTTAAAAACATTCCTTGTTTCAGTTGCAGGTGCATTTTTCTCCCTGCTATCATGATTTCTTGGTTTTAATTTTATTCATTGTAATTATTTTCCTTAAGGGGGTTGTGTGTGTCTGTGTACAGTGTATGCTACTGAACAGAAAAATGTGTGTAAGTTGGCTGTAATAAGGCAGTGTGTAGGTTGGTTGTGTGTGCATGTATGTGTTTGTGTGCTTGACTGCCCTCTGTTTAATTAAAAAGGAAACCACCAACAATACAGACATCTGTATTGTTGGTGGCTTCCTTTTTTTGTTCCAATAGGTTCCGTTACTGTATGCTGAATTTTTTTTGTCATTTTTTTACAGCTTGTTTTTAAATACTTAAAATAAAAACATTCAAATTACCAGGTTTTTTTTTTCTCTTGTGTGGCCATCACCAGCCTTGTGTTTGGGACTTGTATGTTCCCCATTTTAAAGTCCTATCAAAAGGAACGCCCTGTTTGGCCGATTGTACATTTTATTTGTCATGTTGAGACTGGTGTAACAGAAGTACTCGAAGCCTTTGTGGTGGCTTCCTGCAGGATGTCTGTGTCCCACCTTTTGTTTCGATTTTGATGGATGTGTCCACCGGCGAGTGACTACAGTCTCGTGCCGCCTGCGGACCAATCGCGACCGTCCTGATTGCAACGAGGGACAACAGTTCAGTGGGAGATGGCGCCCAGCTCGAAATCCGAAAAGGGTGATGGCAAACAGAAAGCTCAAAGAAAACACAAAGACCATGTCGTGAAGCTTCTCATGCGTGGGAAGGTAGGAATGACACAACGGAACGTGTGGCATAAAACGGGAAAAGAGCGCTCACGGTTTATGTAGGAGCGCTTCAGTGAAAGCCTTGTTTTCCAGTAACGTTAGCTTCTGAGGCTAGCTGCTAACTAGCTCGGCGGCTAAGTAACGGCTAATGGCAGGCATGTTGCTAATTAGCTAATGCTACAAGTATGACAACATTGAGTGTCCTGCTTTCTGGCGATAAATGTCCTTTTTATGTGGTTTGCTAACAGTCTCGTAGACATCTGAATTGATAGTTTTAGCGTGCTAGCTATTAAAGCCAATGGTAGACACCTTTTGTGTTGTATTAGAACGTGTAAGCTCAGTCGGCGTTAGCTTCGGCTAAACCACAGTAGCAACTTTCAGTACGTTACTCCACAGCTCGTACATGTATCGTTAACCCTCAGCCGTCAGATATAACGTTAATCCTTGAATAGTTTCACTTAATAGACAACTGATGTATGGGTTCAAACTTTTTTTAAGTACTCAGGTGTTTATGTGCAGGGCGCTGAAAGACGCTGAATTTCCTGTGTAGTTTGTACCATCACTGAAATGGCCACTGCGTTAAGACTGCAAGGCTTATATATTTTAAACACATTTCTATGCTTCATGTTGCAGTATGTACGTTGTCTACATTTGTATCCACTCTTGTCTGTCCTGCAGCTGTCAGGACAGTTTTCTCAGCGCCTGTTCAGGAAGCTACCACCTCGAGTCTGTGTCCCATTAAAGAACATTGTCAGCGAGGAGTTCCTGAGAGCAGGGTCAGTGTGTGTCTTTACTAAATGGATTTGATATTAAGCACCTTGTACAGCCGTTCACCTTGTTCAGCTCACTGATAGCATTTCAACCCAGGGTTGTTGATGCTCTGTCTAGATCCAGCTGGTAGGGATCCACTGATAGACCTATCCTCTCCCAATACACATACCTAAGCTCAGGATGTCTGTTTTCAGGGGAGTCAGACAGCTGGAGGCCAGGAATTGCAGCCCTAATGAATGTAACTGATACAATTTTGTAATGTAACTGATTAATATGTATGCCGACCCAATCTGCTTTATATTCACTGCACCATTAATCTGATGTATCAGAAGGTGCATTTCTACCTGCTAGTGATTCAGAGTGATTTGCCATGTGCAGTGTTTTTTGAGCCGAGGTATGAATTACAGTAGTGCCTCACTTTTTTGGTTCCAGGCATATCTTTCTTGGTTTCACCAAATGTGGCCGTTACGTTCTATCCTATACCAGCGACTGTGGGGAAGACGACGATTTCTCTTTTTACACCTACCATCTCTATTGGTGGGAGTTCAACCTGCACAGTAGACTCAAACAGGTAAAGGGCAAGGACATTTATTCACTAGAACCTTAATGTGATCCATCCTGCAGATTCACATGTAAACTATGGCTGCAACTAACTAAATTGTCATCAATCTGTTGATCATTTTCTCGATTAATCGATTAGTTGTCAGGTCCTTAAAATGGCAGAAAATTGTGGAAAATGTTGATCAGTGTTTTTCAGAGCCCAAGATGATGTCCTCAAATGATTTGTTTTGTACAAAACCCAAAGATATCAGTTTACTCTCAGAGGAGTAAATAAACCAGAAAATAGTAACAAGAAGCTGGAATAAGAATTTTGGCTTTTTCTTAAAAAAATGGCTTGATTGTCAAAATAGTTGCAGATTAATTTAATGGTTGAAAACTAATCAATTAAACTACTTAAAGTTGCAGCTCTAATGTAAGCAGAGGACTGTTTGGATGCAGTACCATATCCTCCTGTGAGAATTGTGACTTTAATGTGTAGAGATCTTGTTCTTTGTCTCATATCTGCTTATTCTCTTCAGGTGCATCATGTGCGTCTGTTTGCAGGAGAGGAAATCTACAGCGACCTCTACCTGACTGTGTGTGAGTGGCCAAATGACCACTCCAAAATTGTCATCTTTGGCTTCAAGTAAGGAATAATAAACACATCGATCAGCAGCCACATGGAGCTGATTCAGTTTAAGCCAAAAGTATTGTTATTTCAGTGTGTATGTTCAGTGTGATAAGTCATTTTGTGTGCGTGTGTGGTTCCACCTGCCAGTACGCGCAGTTCAAGCTCCGTTCTGATGAACTTAATGATGAGTGATGAAAACAATAGAGACATATACATCACCATCGCCTCCATGCCTCCTCCTAAGCCTTGCTCCTTCTGCTGCCCAGTTCCCTCAGCCACTACCATACGTACAGGTAAACACACACAAAGGTTCACTATGTTACTGTTCTCACTGCCTCACTCTCATCCAACTTCATCCTTTTCTCTCCCCAGGAAGCGGTGAGTGTCTGGAGCATGGCTATGTGCTCAACAGCAGGTACCAGGTGGTGTACCCGTTCCCGACTTTCCAGCCAGCTTTCCAGCTGAAGAAGGATCAGGTCATCCTGTTAAACACTAGCTACTCTCTAGTGGCCTGCGGCATCTCACTCTGTCCAGGTAACAAGTGATCGACGGATACAAGTTTTTCAATTGTAGATGCCGATATTTAGAGAGCGGGGGATCGATGGTCAATATATAATGCTGTTATCAAAACAAAGAAAAGCATTATTCTATTGTTCTATGCAGAGTATAATCTAAAATACATTGATATGTTAGCCATATTTTATTAATTAATGAAATAGAAATATACATTGGGTTCTGCTGTAGATTTCAGGAGGTGACTGGTGTTTACGGGAGAGTGGGGTACAGTTTGTTAGAAGTAATGTCATTTCAACTGCATTATTATTACAGTAACATCATATATTTAGAATGGTTTTAGATTAGCTGTCATTTAGGGTGGGAGAAATGTGTTAACATTTAGCCCCATCACTCAGCTGACCAGTTTTATTTTCATATATATTCTCTCGCTCGCTCACATAATAGTGCTTTTCTTAAAATCAGACTATGCATTTAAGACATCATATATTAGACTTTGCCTCCAGATACAATGTAATACACACAGAACAGATTGGCCCATCTACAGAAGGATTTATATTTGGTGGGAGGAGGGAACAACTTGTTCACACCAGGTGAACAAAGGCCAGACAGTTCTGACGTGCTCGTCTCTGTTGTGCCTCAGGGGACAAATTAGTTCCACTGTGTCACACATAATAACTGATTGTTATACTTAATACTTTCATTCTTAATAATCCATGTCTGTAAGATTTTCATTATCAGGCTGATGTTATAGCCTGATTTCAGCATCAGGTCTTTTTTCAGTTACATCTTTTTATTTGTCTCTCGTAGGTAAGCAGAGTCAGTCATCGCAGATCCTTTACACAAAGAGAGCAGCTCTGTCAAGTCCAGCCTCCACATCTTTTTCCTCCACCTCCTCGGCCTCTTCTTCCTCGCTACCTCAGGGGTCTCCAGAAAGCCGACTGCCACCCAGTAGACCTGCTCCAATTCCCTCATCTCCTAACCAGTCCCAAGCAGCCGTGCGAGCCCGGGAGTTTGCAGCCGACCTCTTCAGGCGCGCCCAGGGAGGAGGAGGGGTGGGGGGAGAAAACGAAGGCCAGACAGAAAGGAGAACAGTTGATGGTGCTGTAAAAGAGGCAGCGCAGATACCAGGAGACAAAGGGATAACTGTAGGGACTCGCAGAGAGGAGGAGGAGGATTGTAGAGAGAGGAGGGAGGAGGAGACACGGACTAGTTTACCTCAGGTGTCAGCATCAGGCGGGAGTCACAGTTTGCCACAGTGCTCTGAACAAGTGATGTCTCCCTCTTCCTCATCACCTGCATCCCCTCCGACCCCGTACTCATGCCAGGAGGCCGGGCCCTGCGAGCCTGGATATGTCAACTATTCATGCCTGCACTTCTGCCTCCAACAGCCAGGGGCAGCAGAACAGAATACAGAAGGTAAGAGAAAGAGGAAGACGCAGAACGAGCAGTTTAAAAAAAAAAAAAAAAAAACTCTCCTCAGGTCACGTCTGAAGTGGCTGACCAGCATTTTTCCTCTCCGTTTCTGTGTCTCCAGGTTATGAGGACGATAAAGTTCAGCTACCTTTCACAGTCACCGACCTTAAAGGACGGAACCTGCAGCTTGTCACCGAGCCACACAATGGACAGGTGTGTGTTTGTGCTAGTATGTCTGGCCAGAAACACTGCATCAATTATATCAAGGTGTCCTACCTGTCCTGGAAATATAGGCATCAACAGTCAGTAATCAGCTGCAGGCCTTTATCTCAGAGCATCATCAGTCTGGTCTTACAGACAAACCACATCTCACATGGGTTGTTAATTTCTAGTTTAGACGAGAAGAAACATTGCGGGCTACAGTTGATCATTCTTTACTTCTTGACTTTTACCTTGGTAAAAATTTAACTTTTTAAAGATGTGTGTTCCCCCTCGCAGAGTGTGTGTGTGGAGCAGTTGACTCTAGATTTCGAGTATCTTATCAATGAGGTGATCAGGAGCGATGCTGCCTGGGCCCCTCAGTTCTGCTCCTTCAGCGACTATGATGTTGTGATATTAGAGGTCAGTCTTTTTAACTTTTAGTCTCTTTCTCATCATCTTCACGTCTGACACAGTTGTGCTGCAGCACTTATCAAACCAGTGTGTCTTTGTGGAGGAATTGTAGTGTGTTGGAATAATACACTGCTTTCTTCCCTCCAATTTGGTGTCACAAATAAACATACGTGCGTGTGTGTGTGTATACACATGTTTGTTTACTTTGTTTCATGTACTACATTTGCAACAGCAAATTTTTTTATATATATTTTTTTTCTGAGCTGGAAAAAAAATAATAAAGAGGAACATTTTGCATTTGAACTGGAGATAATGTGTGTGTGTGTGTTGTGCATCAGGTGTGTCCTGAAACCAACACTGTGATGATCAACATTGGTCTGCTGTTACTGGCCTTCTCCAATTCGGATGAGGAGCACTGCAGGTACTTGTCCTAAATAAACCTAAAGCCTCTTTAGCCGTACATCTGCCACTTTGTTCTTTCCTCGCTAAGTGTACTTTTCTGCTTTGTTTTTGTTACCAGGCCAAACACGTACCATTCCAACCTGCAGGTCAGCTGGGACCTGAACACAGGTGTGTGTTGCACCGTGGGTGTTGGTGACCTTACAGAGGTCAAAGGTCAGACCAGGTGAGGAACTACTGATACCCACTCTCTCACACACAACTTTCTGTCTGTCTCCCTTTTTGTTGTTAGGCTCTGTTTAGTTCTGGTGTGTTCAAGGTGTCAATCTTTATTTCTCTCGTCAGTGGGAGTGTGTGGAGCTCTTACAGGAAGTCCTGTGTGAACACGGTGATGAAGTGGTTGGTGCCTGAGAGCAGCTCCCGCTACATTAACCGCATGACCAACGAAGCTCTACACAAAGGTGAGTTATATTCACATTTGTGCATGCTTTTGGCATCCTGATATCTACCACAGCCCCTCCCACGCAGACCGAATACTCTCTCAGTATGTTGTCCAGATGAGGATTATCATTCATCCAGGTCAAAGAGCAAGTCAGAAGTCAAATAAAACTGGATTAGACCAACGGCTTTTGACTTTTGGTGTCTGGATCTGTAACAACTGGGGAGTATTTTGTGTACATGGAAATATAATACCTCTATTAAAAGCAGGATACAAACTCGAGTATTACCAGAAAGGTCCCGGTGTTTGTGCAAGTGACAACACACACTTACTTGCACCTTTTGGCTTCGCAGTATATACTGTGCGGAAAGCTTATTTGTAATTGTTACAAGAAATTTGTTTGCATTTATGCAAGTTTTTATGAAAAACAGCCAAATATAACTTGGATTGCTATTAAGGATGCACCGAAATGAGAATTCTTGGTCAAAACCTAATATAATGGAAAAACTTTACTGAACACAGAACAAAGTTTTTCACATTTTTTTCCATTTATTTTTCCCTTTTTACCATTGCATGAATTAAAAAGTCCAAATGTGCTTATTACTCAGCGTTTCCCACAGGATTTGGAGCGATTATGGTGGGTGGGTGCGAGGCCCAAGAGGGTCCGGTAAAGTAAATTACATGTGTCCATTTACTTTTAATGTACACATGTAATATGTTTTATACTTTCTGTGAATATAATCCAATTAATCTTATTCCCATACTGTATAGACACCTTATTTTTGAAAACCGGACGTTGTTGTATCCTCTCCACATTCATCAAGTCTGACCCAATTTGATAAATAATGTTGTATGTGGTTCTCGTTTCGCGTAACATGAAGACTTCATAGCCTGTCTTCAGGTAGGACTCTCATACTGCAACACTTAGATTTGTGAAGAGAAACTGACGGTAATGGTAGGATAAAGTTGCTAACCTGCCTGTCTGGTCGCACTGGTCCATTTCAGTGTATTTACCATGAAGGCTTGAATACGTATGCACTCAAAATTTAGGTGCGGCTAGCTTAATTGCCTTCTCAGAAACGAGTGACAAACACTCAAAAGTTGTTCAGACCGTTTGTTGCCTTTTCTAAGAAGTCAGCCACAGATGGAGTAGATGTGCTAGGAGGCAATTCATCAGAACAGTTTCTGAAAATGGCGATTTTTGCGTCTTTCTCAGACGCTTTAAAATGCTTCCACTCTGCTGACTAGTGTTGCAGTCAAGACCGCCCAAACCGAGACAAGACCAAGACTTTTAGGGGCTGAGACCAAGACAGAGGGAGGGCGAGACAGAGTCAAGACTAAGACCAGCTCCCCACAATACGTGATACACAATAAAATGTGGAACAAGCTCATAGGTACTTCTCATATTGATCTGAAAGCTCTACATTCCCATTAAAACACCCACATACAAACACTAAGAGCTGAAATCAACGTAAGCATTGCAATTGCCGGGAGGGGTGACAGTCGTTAACGGTAACACATTTTAATTGGGGTTAGTGGTTGTATTTGAAGCAGTACGTTTTTACATCCAATGAAAGTTAGGATATTAACAAATAAATCAGATGATGCAAAAGCAATTTATTGATATTCCCAAAGTTATGGTCTTGACTGGTCTTGAAATAAAATCCCGAGTCATCAATGTCCAAGACCGAGACCAGACCGAGTACAAATGCAGTCGAGTCCTAGACAAGACCATCAAAAAGTTCTCACATTTTCTTGGCTTACTGGGGCAGTTTAATAGAATGGTAACACCTGTGTTTTTACTACTATGACACACTACTTATATCACCATGTCTGCTATGGAAATTACATTAACCAGGGACCGTGAAACCAAAGCATCGAAATGGAATTTAGCCAACAATCATTTTATTATTTATACTGCTTTTCTTACTGTGATGCATCAAAATGTCTTCAATGAAAAAGGCCTTGTTGATGATTTGAAGTAGTCAGATAAATTCAGTAGTAGTACTTAGTATTAGTGTTCTTTAAGTTTCATTGAAGTTTCATCAATCTGAGCGGCACAGTTTTTTATTTTTTTTATTTTAGTAAATTCTCAGGAGGTATCATCAGTGCTGTGTGGATCCCAGGCATAAAGAAACATGGGGTTGTCAGGGTCCCATCCTCTATTGGAAGTTTTAAAGTGCTTGCAGAATGCGAAATTCAAATCTCACTCATCTTCTCGCCTGTAGGCTCGTCCCTGCAAGTGTTGGCAGATAGCGACCGATGTACCTGGATTGTATTATGAAGAAAGAAGACGTGCCACAAGTGTCAATGTAACAAACAAAAGCACACACACACTTCGACGTGGCCAGCTCAACCTTAATCTGAGCAAAACTGCACCTGCTCAGTGACTATGCTTTGGTAAAGCAGTTAAAACACGTGTCAAACTCAGCAAATAATGCTGTAGTTGAAATACTGTAAAGATTCCTTTTTTTTTTTTTTTTTTTTTTTTTTGTCTTTTTTAGGTGGTCTGTGTTTAATTTTACAGGTTTCATCTTTTAAATTTTTGTAAATGTGTACTGTATCATTGCTACCACCAAAACCAAGAGCTGGACTGAATGAAGATTTAGTTTTTTTGTTTTTATACATAAAGGTGTACTGTTATAGTAGCATGAGTGTTTCTTGTTTTTGCGTGTCTGTAACTGAACGTATGCAATATCTGCACCTGTGATGTTCATAAGGGAATTTCATCCAGACTGTAGGTGTGTGTATGTATGGGTGTGTGCATGTTTTGTGTGTATGAAATGATTCTGACAGATTCTGCTGCTTCTAAACCAGTTGTTTCCTCAGCTGGCCACAACCAGTTCAGTCTAGCTGTGTTGATTTATAAGGCTGCAGAGTTTAAAATGAGACAAATTGAACCCAGTACTCAATTACTTGACTTTTTTGACCTCATGTGACGGATGTAGAGACTTGTTGGAGTCACATGCTCAACTGGTAGACATCAGGTTGTATGTTTACTGGCTTGGAAGTAATACCATGTTCTGTTGGGATATTTTGTTAAAATAAAATGTTTAAAAGTCTTTTGTGAGTCTGTATTAAGAACTGGACGCATTCTGAAAACAGTACAGCGTAGGTCAGTGGTTCCTGGGATCATGAGATAATAAACTGGATAGGACAACAGAAAGAATTCTACAACACTGTTAATGATTCTTACTAACTTCTGATGGGTTGCTGGGGAACACCACTGACTTGAAGTGTATCCACTTGTAAATGTATGCACAAGTTGCCCACCACATGCTGCTTCAATGGCTTTAAAAGCATTTAGCAATGTTATACACCCAGGTGATGTTTAGCACATGCATGTTTGCTAATACATTTACATCTGCATGCTGATCATATCAGCTGCTTACAGTTCCAGTGGATTCCTGTTTTGAAATGTGTGATGTAACTTAGGCAGGGATTTTGTTTTGTTTTGGTTCAGACCATAGAAGTGGTCCAAGACTGGATTCAGCAGTGCTTTCTGCTTACCAATCACCTTGCGTCAGTGAACCTCCAGGTCCAAATTGCAGCGGGGTGTTTGGGTCCCGTTACACTTGCTTGTAAGTTCAGTTTTTGCTTTATTTCTCAGGAATTACTGGATAATTTTATCTCCAAAAGCTTCTAAAAGTAATTCAAATAAAACAAGCAAGATGAACCAGTCACTGCTTGAACTGGTTAAACAATGGTAACATGTGACAAGCGGTCCCAGACTTCATTTTAAAGGGGCACTCCACCAGTTTTTGTTTACTGTCCGCATCACGAGGAGTACTACTCAGCCTGTAAAACAGATGCATAATGTCTTCTGTGGCTCTGGAGTTTTAGTTTGAAAATATAAATCTAATCATGTCATCAAGGTTAACTCTGCTTATGCTTCACATTTTAATATTTCTGCAATACAATCTGTAGGTTTGACAGAAGTGGGCAGTGAGGGTCCAACAGAAAGATGCTATTGAGTTGCATTATGGGTAATGTAGGATCCAGCAGTTGTGGAGCCTGAACCATACAGACTAAAAGTCAGGATATCTCAGTCTCTACTGCTTTGATCTCGTGAGTTTCTGACTTTATAGATAACAATACTACATGGCTGGAGGTCCCCTTTACCTCTGATAACGTGGCTGCGCAAAGACCAAGAACTCAAAAAAGAGTCTGGCACAAGTTGAGAGCAATCACATCCTTTTAGTTAACAGTGAGAATAAAGCTACAAACGTTGATCACAGGTTTAAGTACAAAGGTATTCAGAATAACACCAGGAGGAACTATTTTAGAAAAGGTTCAGCAGCACAAGCTAAGGACAGAATCACAACGTTGCAGTTAGCAGTTGATTTTATTTTTCAAGTCAGATTTTGTATTCTGCCCTCAGCATATGAATACATGTAAATATATACTTGTTTTCTATTTAGTGCTCTTTGGTAGTCAGACCATCCTGAAGGACATCCCACTACTACCATTATAATATGTATGTTTTCTTTTCAGTCCCAAAGTCCAGGCTGCTGGTTGAGCATGTGCTCTTTGGAATGGGTCCATCTAGAAAGTCACCATATTCACATGCTTGGCTCATCATCATCACAATAAAAATATAGTTCAATAATCTGGATGGTGGACATACCACAACATATTTCTTAAGGCAATAATGGTTAAGCAACATACAAATAGTCTGGATATATGACAGTGTTGACAAAAGGTACATAATATAGGATCTACAAAATGTTTAACAGTGATACCCAGAAAAAAACCCTCTACTTTAACACTACAAAAACTTTGAGACAGCAGCAGCTGGTACGTAGGTCGCCATGGATGTAGTAAGTTCTGCTGATTAGGTGGGATAAGCTTTGGCCTTGTCATGTGGCCCATTGTGTGTGTGTGTGTGTGTGTGTGTGTGTGTGTGTGTGTGTAAAAAGAGATTATAAGCTTGAAAGAATGGATGGATGATGAATAGGGTGGATGGATTTAAGAACAGCAAACTGGGCAGAATCATCACAACAAAGCTTGACAGTCACCATCTCAGATTTTTGTTTTCTCCACAGCTAGTAAAAGTTCATGACAACACCGAGACTACTACACAGGACCATCATTTATTAACCCATCAACACAGTATATATAGAATACAAGATGTGGCTAGAAATCTCTCAAAGGCACAGGGTATCTGTTAATTGGCCAAATTAACAACAAATAAAAAGCACAATATGGCATCGACAAATAGTCCACGTGTCAACAAAGTCCACTGTGCGGTATCATTCCAGATGCTACTCTGATGTTAAAAAAAAATTATATTTCAGACAGTGGCGTTCATTAAAGTCCAGCTCCCCTGCATAGTCATCGCTTTAAAAGGCAAGGTGAGTGATTTCTTTGAGTTTAGAGTACAATGAAGAACACTAGCTTCTTCTCATCTCTCCACAGCTATTAGGTCAGTGGTTTACACACACACACACACACACTACAGCTTAGGCTGGACAGCTGTGGCTACTGACATCTAGCCACTGGATAAGACAGGGAAGGCACGGGGAACATGGGAAGAGTGTCAAATGATTGGGTGAAGGCAAAGAGGAAAAACAATGGCAGCACAAAAGTACAGAGTAAAAAATTGGCAAAGGGCTCTCTCACACGCTTGCACACACACACACCAGACGACCACACACAACACCACTTGTTTGCAAACCAGGAGCATACACACAGGCGACAGGACGGGATGACTTACTTGAACTTAAAGCAAAGGTGAGAGTGAAATGAGCGCGTGTGAGATAATTACACAAATGAGCGGCTAAGGTGTTGTGCTGTGGGTCTCAGTCAGAGTGTGCAGATTTAAACTCGTCCTGGGCTGCTTGGCGGGCGGCTCCATCAGCTCCTTCTCGTCACTGACCGCACTCAGAGAGCTGGACTGCAGCACCAGGTCTCCGGTCTCGTCCTCGCTCTCCTCTTCCTCATCGTCCTCTTCTTCTTCTGATGGAGAGAGACAGTGAGATGACTTTAAGTTACACGATAACAGAGGCTGGAGCAAAACCTGAAACTAACTGTATTTGTAAGGACAACCACACTCACCTTTCTCCAGGTCTGGAGAGATCCGGCTCTTGACGGTGCTGGCAAACTGCAACACAGCGTAAGGATCAGAAATCATATATAAAAACATTTATCATCGAGTGCAGACTGTAGGATGTGAGCGACTGTATATGTGAACATGTGGACATACTTCTCCCATGACCGCAATGGGTGTCACTCCTTTAGCCTGGGCCACCCTGTGTTCTATCAGATAGTACATATACTCATCATACAGCAAGCGGATCAGGTGAAAGGAGCCAAAACTGGCAGCACTGCGCAGAGTCAGGTCCCGGATTACCATAGAACTGGTGAGAAAACAGGGAAAATAAAGACATTTCTATTAAATGTAAAAACCAAATACTCTTATACAACACGTTTTTCCCTTTCCCCTCACCTATAGAAGGACCAGTTGAGCAGGAAGACCTTGGCAGCCTTTGGTAGGGCAACAGGGTTGTGCTCGTAGGGCTTTAGGGCCTCAGAGACAACACTGTCCAGCCAGGTAGCCCACTGCTCCAGAGAGTTTTGCTGCTGCAAAGTCATTTTAAAGTCTTGCTCCAGCCGCTGTACCACACGGTCCTCACACTGACACACCCAGGATGCCTGCTCCTGAGGGGGACACGGGCGGACAGTGTCAGGGTTATACTCTATTTCATCTAAAACACCAACGCACAGCAATAGATGGGAAAAGGGAACGGAGGGAGACAGTAGTGCCAACCTGTACGTTGGTGAAATCAACCCGGTTGAGGTCTGAGAGCATCTGGTTGATCTGGGCTGAATTCTGGAGGACGGCACGGGCCGCCTGGGCCAGGTGGTTCAGGCTGGTATAGCGGCGCAGCGTCTGGGAGAAGGAGCATACACACACCACCTGTAGGACAGAGGGAAAAGAAAGAATGAAGGGCGCTGTAATAAGATGTCAGGAAGGAGCTCAGTTCAAGCAGTGGACTGAAGTGCATCTTGGGTTTTCACAAACCTCACAAGAGGACAGCAAACTTGTGTAAATGCATGTCAAGACACACCATCAAATATAATAAAAACTGGTCACTCGAGACATTTTGTAAGAAACTATAATACAAATACCTTTATGCGAACCATCTCTTCTGGGATGTTCATCATGGCGCCGGTCAACCAATTCTCTAGACTTTTGGCAAAGTTACGGATAGCCTGAGTTAAGGCACCTGACATGGATGGTGGTAGAGAGAAGAAAGAGAGGGAAATGGGTTTAATTTTACATTTAAACACACAGGTGTGTATCAGAAGGTAAAACATCTGAACTTGCCCCCAGATGAAAAGACCACTGTTCCCTCACCTTTCCAGGCTGGCATGCTGTACGCCTGCCAAAAGAATGCCTCACTAAACACTTTAATATACATACAGGGCTCTGACAAGCCTAACTTACTAGGGATGGGTCTCAGTACATCAGGGATGAGGATCTCCACCAGAGTCTGGTAGAGCAGGTTGTCGCACTCTTTCGTCCAGTGCAGCACTGGCTCAAACTTACACAGCACCACCAGGCACGATTTGGGCAGACGCTTCTCCGACTCATTGTGTCTGGAGGAGCGCACGAGACATATGTGACAGAGGGGGAGACAGACCGTTCACAATCAGTTACAGAGGTGGATGTGATATGTATGCTCATATTTCTTTCATCTGGTTGTTTTAGCGTGTCTGTGACACTTACAGGTTGAGTGATTCTGTATCACTGCTCTGGCTGAACCTCCAGAAGGATTTCCACAGTGTCTCCACAAGAGTGAACTGAAGGTTGACCATCACGTCCATTATGGCCTGTTGGGGTCACACATAACATCACAGAGGTCTCTAAACGGTCTTCACACCTCTGGCATCTTGATTGCTTGACATTTTCATTGGAAAGAATGTTTTGTTCCACTAGAATTAGTAAAGAGATTGGTGTCTTTTAGCACTTCACACTTATGTGCTATAAAATTCCACTTCAGCTTTGACACCAGGCAGTTATTAAAGCTGGATTTTAACAGTAAATACATCGAGGGCTGTGACCCGTGTATGCGGACAGGGAACAAAGCTAGCTTGTAATCCAGAGTGTCATAATCAGCATGTGTGTCCTGTTTTTTTGTCGATGACTGCCTACCTCGCAGTGTTCTCTGTAGAGAGTCTGAAAGGCCTTGAGGTGTTCTAAAAGGATCCCATCAGGCAGGGCTCGATCTTGCAGATCAATTTCCACAAAGTCCGGCAGTGGCCTTGATGCCTCTACACAAGATACAGAGATGCAGAGTAACAGAGAAACAGTAAGATCTTCAATTACACATGTCAGATCCAATCCTCAATCACTACCAACAGTGTTCATTTCTTTTTTAATAAAATCATATAATAAGTGTATTGCTAGAAAAAAAACAACCAAACAGGTTTTACAGTGTGCAGGTGTTGCTCACCCAGAAACTGCTGATACTGTTGCACCTGTGCTGAAATATCACAGAGTGCCGCCGCCTGCTGACCAATCCCCGATGTCCCGTTGGTGATACCCTGTGTCTTCTGAACTGGCTTTATCCTACTGGACAGAGCAGCCATCAGTCAGGGAAGACAGGGAGAGAGAGAGAGATGCAGCTTATGTTGCAGTTGGAGCACTTGGGGTAGGCAACGTTGGAGAACCAAGGGACAGCTAGATATCAAACTGAAAAATTCCCAGCCCCTCCCTTCAGGCCTCACTCCAAACCCACTCTTAGGTAGGCCAGCCAATCATTTGAATGTTTATTATAGTCCTGAAACAGCCACAGATATAATTTTTTTTTCATTTTTTGCATCAGAGCATTTGATTTATTGATTGATGTGGGGGTGTAAAGAGAATTTCAACAAATATGACAAAAGTGCTTCTGAAATAAATTGCCAACCCCAGCTTTAAAACAACCTGCAATAACATCATAAGCAAAGCAACTATTACATGTTGTTGTTTAAATGGATCTTGTACAACAAAGATGCACGTTTGGCATCTTGGCATAGTGTGTCTGAATGTGGAAAGCTCAAGATAGATGTGCAAATGAACCCAAAATGCAGTGAGGACACAGAATTAAAGACATCAAATCATGGGAGAGGCATTTTACACAATCTTATATTTACAACCAGATGTCACAACTGAAATGACAAATGTCACCCACAGGGATACAAGTACGTGGTTACGTCCTGATACCTGTTTTTCTGTGAGAAAGGCTGTTGCCTCATTGCCATGTGCTGTTGTTCATCCATCAGTCTAAGCAGAGGGGAACCAGATTTGATCCGAAGACCATAGTAGTGGTACTTAGAGTTCCCTCTGAAACACACACAAAGAGTTATGACAATGCCCTGAGGTGCTTCTGCATCAAAATCAGTGTGTGTGTGTGTGTGTGTGTGTGTGTGTGTGTGTGTGTTTGTATACCTGGTCCCTAATCTCCGTGTACGTAGCCCCATGAAGACAGACCTGATGAGTTTGCCAAATGATGCAGCGTTAACAGGTTCCAGTTTCTGCTCCTGGCAATGCAGCAGGTAGTGGTAGTAGAGGGTGCAGCGAGGTAAACTCACCCCCTCCGCCCCCTCATAGTTATCACACAGCCACTGCACCTAAGGGAGATGCATGCACGGTCACAGAATTAAATTTTCTGAACTTTCATAAGTAATGCATTTTTCACTTTGAATTTAAGTACTCACAGTAGCAGGTGGGGCACGAGAGTTAGGGCTAGAATAACTCTGTCCTCCTCCTCCTCCACCTGCTGCAGCCCCTCCTCCTAACACATAACCTCCCTGAATTACGTAGCCTTCTCCACCCGCAGCTGCTCCCCCACTATTGGCCCCTGCTGTCGCCACGGAAACCGGCTGCGAGGTCACAGAGCCGGTGATGTCTGACTCAGAGCTGGGCGTGGCCTCGTAGTAGGTGGAAGAGGAGGTGGGAGGGGTCTGGGAGTAGAGGGGCGAGTCTGAGAAAGGGTAGTTGTTCGATCGACTGGACAGGAAATGACAGACAGACAAAAACATTAAAAAAAATGATCAGGCACACTTGCGTGACCAGGAAAGTTGCACAGTGTGTGTGACTGTGTGTGTGTGTGTGTGTGTGAGCAATCTATGTCTATGGGATATGCAACATGCACACATAGCACTCACATGGTGGGTGTGGTAAAAGTCGCATCTCCCCCTCCGTCCACATACTGCACCTGGCCAGAGAACACATGCTCCACCTGAACAACAAGCAAACAGGAGACTTAAAGCAGCAGCACTTGAGGGCAACAAGCTGTAAAGACATATATATATATATATATATATATATATATATATATATATATACACACACACACACACACACACATACATACACACACCTTATATTGTTGTTACACCAAACATGTTAGCAACCAGTAATCTATATACAAATCCAGCAACATTAGCATTCAGTTGGAGTTGTGTTTCTGTCTACCTGATGAATATAAGCTCTTCACTCTTCTTTTGGCCCTGTTTCTGGTCTCCACCAACTCTTGTGGTACTCTTTAGCTGCTGAATGCTCTACAATGTTCACCAGCTAGTCACTAGCTTTGACTGTGTGTGTTATTATGTGCAGGGCAGGTATTGTATAATATGTGTTTATTGTACATGTTTGTAATGTTTCTGTTTTTGTTACCCGTCTAGGGACTTTGGGTGTAAATGAGCATTTTAGCTAAACTCCGGCATGTTTACATCTTTTATTTTTACACTGATGTTCATTAACATGCTCTGTCCCTATAAAATAAACAAATAAAGAAAAAGGTTTTCAGAGGTTTTTGGCTGAAAACAGCTGCCTGCTGAAAACAAAATGCTTCAGAGTGATGAGTGAACCCAAACAATGACATCGAAGGTAGTAAAAACTAAAACAATGAGTGAAAAGATGCTAAAATGCTCTGTAAAAGTGAGGAGAACTGCAGAGTTGGAAATGAATCCTCCTGGGGTCAAAAATTATAGATGAGAGCAGTTTAGTCTTTCCCAGACATAATGCTTGAAACAAACAAACAGCAATGAACAGAGAAGAGTAAAGCTTGATGAATATCAAACAATTTTCTTTGAATATTACATAAACCACATCCACAATTGTGCCTGCTCCATAACAGCAGGCACAACTGTGAAAAGAAACCTGTTGACCATCTTTATTGTTATACATGAATGGAAGCCAAGTTTGTTGATTGTGTTTTTTGATAGACGTGATGGTCCATAACAGCTCATTCACTCACACAGGTAGACAGCACGACCTGCCAGTGTTCAAGGACATGTCAGACAGCCTGAGGAGGCTGTAGTGAGAGTGAGGGATGAGCATGAGGAAACGAAAGAGAGGATGTGATGGAAGGGAAAAGACATGCATCCTACATCCCTCTTTCTATCTGCCTGTAACACTGGACAAAGCCAAGCATGATCATTTACGCTTTAATTGATTGTATTTATGGTATATTCTCTTATATCATAAGAGGAAACTTTTGTGTGTCTGTTTACCTCCTGGTTAATGTGCACAGACTGTAGGTTGTTGATGTGGCCAGGCTGAATCCTCTTGGCTGCCTGTGACACCGCCTGCAACACTGACCTCTGCTGGTGAGTAACGCCAGAGTGTCAGATAGAGCTTTGGGTGCTAGACCATTAGTTATGACTTGCTCCTACACAGTCAAACAACACATTCATGGGGTTTGTGTGTATGTTTGCATCTTACCTGTTGGGCGGTCTGCACTGGTTGGACCACCTGAGTAGGAACACCGGGGGCAGGTGGGCTGGAGTCTGACAGACTGTCGTTGGAGTGAACAGAGCCCTCTAGGGATGGCAGGGTGAGGGAGAGAGGTTTTGTAAGATGATCAAACAAATCTCAACAGAAAAGCCAGCCACCATTTTCATAAGCTCAGTACTCACGACATACTGCTTCCAAATCGTAATAACAGCCATCGCAGAACATCCTGCAACAATGTGTATTTTTTGTTCAGCTGAGGAGAGACTGATACTAGGGAGGATGAAGAGTGTGTCTGCCCAACCCTCATTTCATCCTTATATATTGCATGCAGGAGGACAACCTTGGACAGCTAATCTCCCCAGATGGAGAGAGAAATCACTCCATCTTGTAAACATGCAGATCAGATGAGAGAGGGAAATGAGAGATACATGAAGGATGGTGGATAGAGAGAGAAAACAGAGGATGGGTAGGCAGAGGAGAGGATAATAATCACTTCCTTGTATCCGGCAGGTAAGAAAATATTTTAATTTTGCCGTCTTGCACTGTCCAACTGTGCTGCTCTTACTTCAGCCTGGGTTAAACCTCTGTAAACATACCAATAGTTACACATGGGCCAAGTTAACACTTGAGCCACCACTCAATTTAATTTGCATTATCATAATGGGGTCTCTACCCAAATGTTTGTACAGTTTGAAAAAGTTAGTAACTTTTTAGTTAAACAACTTTTAATTCTTCCCAAAAGATAATTCAAAAGCGATCGATACAGTAATTTCCGGTATTTTTAAACCTGGGATTTTTGCATATTTTGGGGTTGAAATGACTAGTAGGTACAAAAAGTTTTTGAATCCATGCAGAAGATAGCTTCAGCCAGCAGCTGCGTTCCAGCTACAGTGGCTGCAACATGTTCCTTTGGGGCCATTTTGCACATCAAACTTACATCCACAAAATGTGCTTCTTTTTGCCACCGACAGGCTCAGTCCGTTACACGAGGTGCCTTTAACATCACAGAAAGGATCCCTACGAGTTACTCCCGGTGACACCCTTTGTTTTAACAGGAAGTAGAAGTCTCGCTTACGAACAATTCTCGCTCTGAAATCTTGTGAGAGGCGAGTTGTTGCAGGCAGACAACGACGGAAACTTGAGTTAGAGTTGGAGGGAGGAGTTTTTTTTGTGTTGGAGTAATGTTGGGAAATAAAGTCTTGCTAGCAGCTCCCGTATGTACACAAACTCCTCTCCCTTATGCAACAACTCACCTCTCATGAGATTTTACAGCGTGACTGAGTCCGGTTAAAAACAAAGGGTGTCACTGGTAGGGCCCAGGTTTAAAAATACCGAAATTATCCTTTTATAAATACGTTATCATCAGAGTTTACATGGTGTTTGCCACAGGCTGATTGCTGGCTAAATATCTAATTAGTCAGCTCTGTCTGGTGGCAACTTCTATACCTACATTTCTGGATTTGAAGGGAAAGGTCTACTGACTGAACAAACTAATGAAGGCGGTGTCAATCACAACATCCTAACCAACCAAATCGTCTTGACATTACAGGTATTTTTAATACAGGTCTATATACACTAAAATTATTTGATTAGTTGATTAATTGTGAAAATTTTAACTATTATTTTCTTCAATTACCTATACATAAATTAAGTTTTTTATCACATGAAAATATCAAGGATAATGTCAAACATTTGTTGGTTACAGGAGCAACAAAAAGCAGTGTTAAGACATCTAAATGGGCTTTGGGAAAATGTGGTGGACATTTGTGGGGTTTTTTTGTTTGTTTGTTTTTCCATTTTATAGGTGAAATCATCAATTGATTAACCAATGAGATAACAACAAGATGTGTTAAGTGATAATGAAATCATATTCAATTAGAAGATTTCTTTTATAATTTCTCCCAGTTTCTCAGGTAAATGCATGACGCTGTAAAGTGTACCCTTTCTTAAAATCGAGTGAGCTACTTTTAACAGCCCGACCTCCTTTATGCAAGGCTGCAAAATTAATTTCTACAAAGTTACTGTCATTGTTAACAGGCTGAAAAGACTTTTATCACCATTTTATATCTTCTGTTTTGTTGTTCTAAAGAAGCAGAAGTTAGAAGAAGAAGTTACAGTATTAAAACTTTGTGTACAGTTATGCTGTATTCAATGGAAACACTGTAGCCTGTTATCATAAATGTGTGTACAAAAAAGTACAATAGCTGAAGTGTAGCATCTTACATGAAGCAGGACTACTGCATACCTGTGCTGAGTAGAACCTTTTTACTACAGTCCATGTCCCCTATATGAGGGAATGCCAGGTTTTATTAGTCTAACTAATAAAAGTCTAACTAATTAGCTAACTTAGTAGTCCTACTTCATGAGTATGAAACAAGCTCCAGGCCTGTGAGTCTCTCCTTCTGGGTGAGAGTGCAGAGTGTTACTTGACACTAGCAGGCAAAAAGATCTACGAATAGATGGCCTTAAAATAAACACACAGGCAGACACCAGTGCAAGGGTCAAGGGTCAATTCGCTCTCATTTCCACTAGTTAACCCTAGTTAAAATACTAAATAATTTCTTCATGACCGAGCACTTGTTTTTTAAATTAAGGATACATTTTGAAAAAGCAATGGTCTAAATTAATTTGAATGTCTGGAAAAAGGTCCAAAGCATTGTTAGCACACATTACATTATTTACCAGAGAAACTGGCTTATGTAATTTTTGTACCACTGTAGGAATAGCAAACTTAAAGCCATGTTGATGCAATATAATTTAAAAAAATCCTCATTATACCACCAACTCTGTATAACAGCAGAAACAGCAGAGCAGAAGTGAAGTCAGGTCCATCCATCAGCCATCCATGCTCCCACGTTCGGGACTATGCAGCCTAGCAACCAAGTCCATCAGCTTATTTTGTCCTCATAATATATGCACCACCCAACTAGACAGGCAAACTACATCAGGGTTTTTCTGATCCTGGTGGGACTTATCTTCATTCAAGCCATCTAATCGAGACATTTTAAAGATTAAATGCAATTTGGTATGGCAGAAAACCTGTAACCTACATGACCACAAACACTGGACTAACATCATCATCATCACAATAACTAATATATGCAGTTATGCACAAATGTAGTCACATAATTCCTAATGTGTTTGGATATCACTGGAACATGTTTTTGAGGCAGCTGGGGCTAAAGCTAGTGATGGCCGGCCCCAAACTACACAAATTCCATAGTATTTCTGTTAAAATGTTGATGAGCAAGAGAAGTGCAGGCTTAAGAAAAAGAAAAGAAAAAGGCTGTGCACTGGATGCACATATAGCTGCTAAAATAATTATCTAGGTCAATTAATATAGTGAACGGTTTATATTTTTATTATTGATTTGTTGTGCTTGTTATTTATCAAGTTAAAATAATCGAGGCATCATCCAATTTACTTAATGTATCCGACCAATAGTCGAAAACCTAAAAATATTAAATTTACAATGATATCAGACAGACAAAAACAGGAAGTCTTCACATTTGAGAATGAGCAAATATTTGGGTATTTTCCTTGACTTAAAGAATTACAATAGTTGAGAATTTATTTTCTGTCGATTAACAAATGGATTCATTGTTTCAGCAATATTAGATACCACTTTGATTTTACCTTTTGTATACACAAGTAAGAAATGTTAAGAAATCCTGATGGGCCTGGCAACTGAAGACAAGCATTCATGATCATTCTTCATATGTTTAGACAAAGATGTTTACACAGTTCTCCCCCACACTGTTTGGTGACTAGACAAACTGCCATTCATAAAACTGCCATTCTCAAACCTTGTTTACACCCTAGATACAGACTTGCAGGACAAACTGAAGCTTGCCATATTGTGCCCTCCTCCTGCTTATGTCAGTTAGAAAATGTGTATTATTTGTTTGTGCAAAGTCATGTATTATGTAGGTATGCGCCAGTCATTCGTCAGGTCCTCACCTGTAACAGTGACAATGATGTACTGCGGCGAGCTGCTCTGACCATTACTCTTCTGGACCGTAGAGTGCTGGATGTCAGGGGTCACATAGTGCTGTGTAGTAGCAGTCAGAACCACTGCCTTCTGGCTCTGGGCGGGCGGCGCTTGAGAACAAAGTGCATCCGGTCCCGGTTTTGAGGCCGCAGCTGATTGATTAGATGGTGCAATGGTTCCAGAGGTTGGTGGGATCTCGGGCAGGAAGTGTGCCGTCTTTGCGGACGAGGGTGTGGTGGCGGCAGGCGTTGCTATGGTTACCGTGTTGGCCTGCTGAGGCTGAAGGTCCTTCGAGTATCCAGAAGTTGCCATGGCAACCAATGCTCTACTAGGCACTACTTCTGTGGATAAAAAATGACGAAAGGGCTGCAAACATACATAGCTTCACACTTGTTGGCATACTATTTCACCTATGTTTTGGCCACACAGACCTGGTGTGTGTACATGAGTGTGTGTGCGCGTGCGTGTGCACGTGTGTGTGTGTGGAGAACATAAACCTGAGGAGGAAGTAGGGCTTTTGTCTAAGACTAAGCAGTAATCTAGAGCTTTTCCTGTTTAGTCCAGTATGACACACAGGGCAATCTTAAGCACCATAAATAAAGCAATGAATAATATTTTTTAATCTAAAACAAGGTTCACTGATCATGACGGTGTCAAGTGAAATAACTGACTAAACTAAGTAACTAAACTGACTAACTAAAGATGAGAAAATATGCGACCATGGATAGTTCCTGGTATTACCATCTGGAAATAAACTAATTTTAATCAGTGAACCCACTGTTAGGCCATCCCACTGGACGTTAAGCCACTCCTGTGTAAACCAACACGGCAAACAAAACAATCAGATGATCATCCGGCACACCGTGTTCACGGGAGTGACCTGCCGAATTCAATGACACACCAAAAACTTTTTCAAAGTCACAAAACGATTTTGAGACATACAACAATCATATCCCAGTTGTTTAGATATCATAAACAGTTGCGTGAGCAGCTTCTCGCGTATGTTTTTGTATTTAATGTTTCCAGAGAGCTTGCTTGAAAAGTGAGTTGAGAAAGCGACAGTGAGCTTCCCCGAGCTAGCAGCTCACGTTGACTTGTGACGTTAAAGCGATCTAGCTAGTTCCTAGTAACTCGTGTTGGCTAGGGCAATACATCTATGACCACGCCACCGATCACGTGTCATTATAATTTAATCGTAATCGAAACTGTTAACAAACAGCCTGAACATTTTAACAAAATAGCTTTTAAAAAGTACGATAGGCACTAACAACACACCCGCCATCTTGTGCGCTTATCACAGCTCTGACATCGCCATAACAACGGTCTGCATGCGAAAGAAGCCACTTTCATCTCCGACTCACGCGACCACTTTCACGTCAAAGCCGACAACTGTACAAACAAGCACACGCATTTAACTACGATAAAATACAATTATAATTCTGGTATGTTTTACTTCTTCACCTCTAGTTTATCCCAGTATTATCCTTTTTTAGCCGTTCAAGTGTTTTCCTTAGATTTACGTTGTTATTGTTGACTCCCGTTGCTTGGTTCTTGTCACCAGGACTACCGTGACTATGGCGCCTTGCCTTCACCGGGGCAACTGTTGCTACCGTCTCGTTATCGCCCTGCCCTACACTAAATGCTGATTGGCTGACTCGGGAGGTGGTCGCAGCGTCATTACAACAACCGACCGTTGATTGGTAGAAACTGCCTGTCTGTCACTTTCATGAGAGTCTAACGTCAAACGACCACTTCTAGTGTTACTTTCGTGATAGCTCAAGCAGAAAGGTAGAAAATGATGGGACGTCATTCACCGCCTCTTATCACTGACCCGGCTGATATAAATCGTTAATATTGGGGTGGCGATGGGACAGTGGATAACACACGTACCTTTGTAGTGGGAGACCAGGGTTCGTTTCACACTGCAACATATCCACCAATTTGTCCCTGATCAAGACACTTAACCCTGGTTCTCTGACATATATAGTAATTGTAAGTCTCTTGGCTAAATGAATCGAAATAAATAAAAGAAAGAGATTTTAAAAAAGCAAACAAAACACATCTTACATTGAAAATATGTTTTGCTTTTGGGCAAGCAGTAGCATTTCTCCAAGGAGCAATTATTAAAATAACAAACAATAAAATTAACAATAATATGATAATATTACAGTAAGTTACACAAACAGCAACAATTATTTAATTTATTTACAAGTGTTGTCTGACTTTCCACTGGTTGTCCTCAGTTTGTGGCATGAGAAGATACATTTTGCTCCATTGAGTTGGCATTTGGGCATTTCTCCCAGTAAGTAGGGAAGTTTCTGTCTGTCTGATTTAAATTAGAATTCTGGATATTTTTGGGAAATGTTTAGGGAGTGCTTTTCCTGTAAAGTTTTATATTTAGGACATGAGGTGAGAAAGTGCTGCTCTGTCTCTACCTGTCCTCAGTCGCACTGGGAGCAGAGTCGCTCCTACTCTGGTAGCCAGGTCTGTCTGTGGTGACCCTTTATTATGGCTGGGCTGTGTTTACCTGTAACATGTAAAATGTAGTCAGTTAATTTAGAACATTTTGTTGTGCTCAGGAAATTTGCCAGTGTGTATATTCTTTTTAGGGCCAGATAACATTGTAGTATCACAGAATCACTAGTTGGCCTCTGAAAACTCTCTGTAGTGTGTGTGTGTGTGTGTGTGTGTGTGTGTGTGTGTGTCACTTGTAGTGAACACCAACGTATAGCACTCGTTGTCCTTGGGGTGCATGGATAGTGATCTCCATCCAATGCATGACAGAGTAGACAGTGAGATGGAGATTGTGCTAGTGACACAAAGCACAGCTCAACTGATGTATGGGACAGAAAGGCCAACAAAAGGTCACAGGTGATTAGATAGCCAAGAGCTCTGTTGACATCACCTCTGGCATCATTCGCTACTTAATCACAACTTTCCTTTTTCTCTATGTGCATTGTTGCCCCTAAAGGTCTCTGGTCTTATCTCTGGGCATGACAAAGAGTGGAGGTGAGTTGAGGTGCTTCTCCGAGATGCTGAGGCCTATATAAGGTGGGGTCTGTCCAGAATGAAGCACAAACCACAGACACCTCAAGCAATTTCCAGCCTTTGAGACACCTACGACATCTTTTCCCTCACAACATGTGGAAGGCAGCACTCTTGACCCTGGGCTTGTTGGTGGCGTTGGTGGGCAGGGTGCGGCCCAATGATGGCCATCCCTCTTTCTATGGGGTGAAACTGTGTGGAAGAGAGTTCATACGAGCTGTCATCTTTACCTGTGGTGGTTCTCGCTGGCGGAGAAGCGTAGGAGACTCAGGTAAGAGTGTGTGTGCGTGTGTGTGAGACTGTGGATTCAAGTTTTGTTTTTTATGATGTTTTCCTAGAGATTTACCTTTGCTTTTTTTATCAGCTCTTATTGGAGAAGAGGCCTTTGACCTGTGGAACACAAATCCCATCCCTCAACTTGCCAGTGAGCAGGATCCTGCAGAATCCCAAGCATGGAGAGAACAAACACCAAATGTGGCATCTGTGGCTGCTGGATTCAGCCGCTCAGCTCGCTCGCCAATCTCAGAGGAGGTGCTGGAGGCTCTACGGAGTGCAGATAGGAAAGGACGGGATGTAGTGGTTGGACTGTCCAACGCTTGCTGCAAGTGGGGCTGTAGCAAGAGTGAAATCAGCTCTCTCTGCTGAACCTTGTTTAATAAATACACTTGTACTTGTGATTCCTTAATTTCTCCCCATCCCACTTACCAGCCATGTGTTGATATTGATACAGAAATGTGACTCTGTACTCAAAATGTGTTTTCTGTGATTATCACAGATTGATATATATGTTTAATAAAGCTTTGTGTAGTTGGTATGAAAGTCTCTGTTCCTTTTACAAAAGAGCTACTAAAATGATATTCCATGCTGTTAGGACACTTCCACTTTTCATAAGGCTTGTTTCAGCAATAGCTATACAGTTTTGACAAGGATTTCGAAATGAAAGGAAGTGGTGGGACTGTGAATGATATTTGGCCTGATATTTACTGAATCCTAGCAGCTTTCTGTGACGTTAGATGCCATGTATGAACTTATTTACAAATCACTGGAATCCAGTACAGAAGACCTGCAACATAGACTACTGCCTCTCTGAAGCATATTATTGGACTTTGGCTGTTTATTTCAGCGTGTTCATGGGAATTGGCTCATCCTCCGATCAGATATGAATTATCATAGTGATGTTAAGACACATTATCTTAAAAAATATATAGCTTCACAGTGGTAGTTTGCACTGGTGTTCATGATTTCGTGTCCACGCCCTGTATCACTTCATACAGATCAATTATACAGTGCTCTAGGGATTTGAAGCTGACACCATCTGGTGGTCAGGCATGAAACACAACACACACAAAAACGATGCCTACAACATGTCTGTTCACAGATTATTAGTATGTGACGCAATTTAAAGACATATGCAAATACTGATGCATGCTGTGTGCTCACTGTCAAACAGTAAACTCAGTGGCTGTAGCTCTCCACACTGTTACCTTGCTCGACAGTGTCCGTTACGGAAGCCGACCACGATCAATCCGATCACCCGGCTTGATTGCAAGGCATGCAAACTCTGTCACATAACAGCTAGCACAGCAACCACACAGATCCACTGAGATCAGAAGTTGGTATTAGCCACACAGATCGCGGACACATTTTATTTAATGTTAACGTTAGTTGTTAGAGTGTAACTACACTACTGAGAATAATATATAGATATAGATCCACCACCTCGGAGTGACCAGGTAAAACCTTTCGCGGTACTTTCAAGATGATGCTAGCTAGCAATGCTACTGGTTAGCAGTGTTTTGAGTATTAATGCGCTCTGTTTGCGCCGTATTTGTTGCTTTGATTACAAACACTGCCTTAACAGAGCAATGTGGCATCCTTGGAGTTAACGTAAGAAAACGTTTAGCAGCTGTTGAATCTTGTAACGTTAAGTTACGTTCCGAGTATCACAGCGACGCTAAGCTAGCTTGCTATCTGAATGAACAAGACATTTACGCCGTCAGGGCCTTACTAATGTAGAAAGGACTGGTTAGATCGCGATTGATAATAGTTAGCGTGGCTGCTTGTTCGTGCATCTGTTACTTACTAAAGGCCGACTGCGTAACGTTAGTGGTACTTTGAGGTTTCATGTAGCCAGAAACAGAAAATGTTCATAAACATTAACACGTTCACAGCAGTGTTTTGCTACGTTGTCGACACATAGTGACAAGACATGTAGTCACATGTGAGGTTAACTGTTAACGCTCATCTCTTATCGTTACAGCGTAGCTTACGTTACTTTTACGTGATTTGTATACTAACGTACGATGGGGGCTGTGCATGTAGTACATGCTTCATAAACTGGTAATATGTGTGTTTGTGTCCTGTAGGATGGAGTGGCAGCCAGATGAACAGGGCCTGCAGCAAGTGCTTCAGCTACTCAAGGACTCCCAGTCCCCAGACACAGCAACACAGAGAGCTGTGCAAGAAGTATCCTTACGTGTGTGAGAGAGAGAAGTGTGAGAAGTGTGAGAATTTGCTTCCCTAATGAGAGCTTGGTAGTGAAAGTGGGTGACAGTGAAAACTGACTCGGTGTATTTTGTCATGCATAGCTTGCATCAAGTGAACTGGTGTGTGTTTATTGTGACTGTATATTAAGCCATACAGCTCACGTGTTAAACACATGGTGTGTGAGAGCTTTTGCTATGTGTTTGTGTGGATGGTTGGACTCCTTAACAGAGCCTGCAGAAACTGGAGCAACTTAACCAGTTTCCAGATTTCAACAACTATCTCATCTTTGTCCTCACAAGCCTCAAATCTGAGGGTATGTATGTGCACGTCAAAAAATAAGTCATTTACTAACCTTACTTGGCTTGTCCCTGTAAATATTTTTGTATCTCACCTCCTCTTTTCCATTTTTAAAATGTCTTTAAACTATGCCTCTCTGCTCTCTCAAGATGAGCCCACTCGCTCTCTCAGCGGTCTGATACTGAAGAACAATGTTAAGGCTCACTACCAGAACTTCCCTCCCAACGTGGCGGACTTCATCAAACGAGAATGCCTCAACAACATCGGAGACCCTTCACCGCTAATCAGAGCTACGATCGGTGGGTGTTTGAGCGAGAAAGAGAAGATGGAGTAAGAGAAAGTTAGTGTTTGCTGCATTTCCTAGCCAGTGTGAGTCAGACTGCTATGTAGGTGGTTGAATTTTTGCAGGTAATGCAGCTGTGTGGGAGCGAGCAGTCATTCGAGAAGTGAATGATTGAATATGATGACGAGTTAAGTTATTAGTTACTCCTGAATTTTAAAGCCTGATTTATCTTTGTGTTACTTTATCTATCATAAAGGCATCCTGATCACGACCATTGCCTCTAAAGGAGAACTGCAGACGTGGCCGGAACTGCTGCCTCAGCTCTGTAATCTGCTCAACTCGGAGGACTATAACACCTGCGAGGTCAGTCTCACCTGCCTGCGCACACAAAAAGCTTTGTAATGTGGTGTTATAATTTGGCTTCAACATTTTTTTCTGTATGATTTTTCCATGCCTTCCAGGGTTCTTTTGGAGCGTTGCAGAAGATCTGCGAGGATTCATCAGAGTTGTTGGATAGCGATGCTCTGAACAGACCTCTCAACATCATGATCCCCAAATTCCTGCAGTTTTTCAAGCACTGCAGCCCAAAGATCAGGTCAGTGAAACACCAATGTTTTGGTTTCTGACTCCTACTACTGGCGCTTTTGGCTCTCTTCCTCGGCCTTTCCACTTCGTCTCTACCTGTTAGAATCATCATTATAGATCCCACTTTGTTTGTGTTTCTCTCAGGTCCCATGCTATAGCGTGTGTGAACCAGTTCATCATTGGGCGAGCTCAGGCTCTAATGGATAACATTGACACCTTCATTGAGGTGAGCACTACACGGTTATGTTTTAATTCCCATTGTTTTCATACATCCCTTTCTCACATGTACCTCCATCTCATTTTACTTATGACTCCCCTTTCAGAGAAGGAATATGTAACAACGCATCTTATCTGTTAAAGCTTTTACTGCGATTTTACTCATAGTCTCTTGTTCTTGTTCCCTTTGACTGACTTCATCTGACTTTATCCATGACAGCACTGTTACGAAAAAGAAAAAAATATTTAGAGTCAGTTATGTATGTAACATATGGAGTGTGCCGTTGCTTGCAAATTAACTGCTTTGATTCAAACATTGAAAATGTTGTGGAAATGCTACTATGTCCTACGTAGGCAGTTTTTATGGCAAAATAATTCGGGAGAATAAGGTACTGATGTGTGAGAAAAAAACTCCTCATTGCGTACATTGCATGTACAACACTAGGCTGAAGTTAGTTTGATGTTCACCAGATGAACACATTTTATCCAATAGAGTCTGCATAGAGTTAAAGTTAGATTAGCAGTGAAGTTAGTTTGTATGGACCTGATAAACTTGTCTCATGGTTGTTGGGTGTAGACCCTGCCCATCCTTCCCTTCTCCCTCTGCCACTCATCCCCTTTCTCTCCTTGTCTCTTTCGTATCCAGAGTCTCTTTGCACTGGCCGGTGACGAGGACAGCGAAGTGCGGAAGAACGTCTGCAGGGCTCTGGTCATGCTGCTGGAAGTCCGCATTGATCGCCTCATCCCGCACATGCACAGCATCATCCAGGTGAGGGTGGGACTTGATCTCAACGCACCAGTTTAAACAGAGAACACGTGGCTTTCCCTTCCGCTAGGGATGCACCGAAAGGAAAATTCTTGGCCGAAACCGAATATAATGGGAAAAAAGTATTTTGCCCTTTTTTTTTTACCATTGCATAAATTAAATTGTCAAAATGTGATTTTTACTGAGTGTTTCCCACAGGATGTGGAGAGACTATGGGGGGGTGGATCTGAGGCCCAAGAGGGTCTGGTAAAGTAAATTACATGTGTCCATTTACTTTTAATGTACACATGTAATATGTTTTATACTTTCTGTGAATATAATCCAATGAATCTTATTTCCATACTGTATAGACACCTTATTTTGAAAACCGGACGTTGTCGTATTGTTGCGCTACATTCATCAAGTCCGACCCAATTTGATAAATAATGTTGTATGTGGTTCTCGTATCTCGTAATATGAAGACTTCATAGCCTCTCTTCAGGTAGGACTCTCATACTGCAACACTTGTCTTTGTAAAGAGAGAAAATGACAGGATAAAGTTGCTAACCTGCCTGTCAGCTCGCACTGGTCCGTTTCAGTGGATTTACCATGAAGGCTTGAATACATGTGCACTCCAAATTTAGGTCCGGCTAGCCTAATTGCCTACAATTCAGCAGAACAGTGTCTGCGTACGGTGTTGCGTCTTTCTCAGATATTTTTAAATGCTTTCACGCTGCCGACATGTCAGTTATAGTTTGGTAAAATTTATTCGGTCTTTTGACATATTAGGCCGAACACCAAAAGTGCTTTTTTGCTGTTTTCGGCCGATTAATTTCGGTGGCCGAACATTTGGTGCATCCCTACCTTCCCCCGACGTCTCCTCCCCCTCATTATTATCATCATCATCATCACCTCTTGTTGTCACCAGTACATGCTGCAGCGGACCCAGGACCCAGATGAAAACGTGGCTCTGGAGGCCTGCGAGTTCTGGCTGACGCTGGCTGAACAGCCCATCTGTAAAGAGGCCCTGTCTGGACATCTGGTCCAGTAAGTGCTCACATGCCAACAGGTTGTTGGACAGGGTTAAGATGATGACAAGGAAAATCCAGTGTTGCAGTGCAAGTATGAATTTCATCTGAATGGTAATGTGGTTGTCTGTCTATTTTTTTCAGACTGATTCCTATCCTGGTGAATGGGATG